ATAAAAAATAAAGGAGCAACACACTGCGAAATGTAAATGAAAAATAAGTATTATAATTATTGCGTTACTTTAATACTGAATAAATAGAGATGATCGCTGCTATAGCTGACAAGGACGTCTTGTCCATCCGGGCTATAACTCAACGACGTAATCCTGTAAGAATTGCCTTCAAATTCTGGGACAGTGAAACTGCACAGAGGTCTCACTGAACTTTCCGCGTCTGTCCAACCTAAAGAATGCACACACATGTAATCACGGTACTTTGTACCGTGATGTAATACAATTATGTCCCGTAAAGATTACCGGTGGCCGGTGTACCAAGAGTTCTTCTGTCGAATGTTCTTACAGTGCTATCGGAACAACCGATCGCTATTTGGTGAGGCAATACAGGATTCACAGATAAAGCTGTCACAGCTCTTTGACACGGGATTAGTACATCCTAGAAAAATAATTTAATAAATGCAGATGTATGATATATATATATATATATATATATATATATATATATATTCAGCGAATGATGCTTACCTCTCTACATCTCGTAGTGCTACATTTGTCCTTTATTCTAAGATCAAACCATCTCACAGTTCCGTCTTCTCCACAGCTTAAAAAACTATGCGGTTCACCAGGTATTGTCGCAATTTCGTAAGTAGTGCCGGTGTGACAAGTGAATTGATTATGAAACGTTTCTGTTCTTCTCATCAGATCTGTAAACGCGATTTAGTGCGACATTAGTGCTCAGTAAAAAAGATGATATGTATAAAATACTCGATCTCGTTAATTTCTTTGTCCAATCATAGTCTATTGATTTTTATACCTGTATACAAAATAATGCCATCTCCACTACAAGAAACAATACGGTGATCTCCGCTATTAGGCAAAAATTTGGCACTAAAAATATTTGCCCTGTGACTTGTCTTATAATCTGTTAATACCTTAAATACATATAGAAATTACATATAAAAATTAATTACATATAGAAAGAAAGATTATTAAAACAATATAAAATATTTTATATATGTGTATAATATATTTAATTTTCAGTCAATTTCTTGAATTAATCTATTTTAATGATGCAGAGGCAAAAAGAATTTCTATTGAATATATGTGTATTTCTTATATTACAAATATAAGATAAAACTTAGCGTCATTATTATATCTCTATTAACTATGTATGCAAAATATTATATCACATAACTTTAATGAAATGTTATTCGAATAAACAAGAACAATGCAACACAATGAACATTTCACTATGATTAATTAACAAGGTAGATCTAGGATAGTATCAAACGGTAAAATTAACCACGTGCACATCTGAAGAACCTACTGATTTGGCACCAGCATCTGTATCTCTAACTATGTCAATGTTGGACCTTGACTAGAATTAACTGTTCAAAATATTCCCTTGAAAAGGTTTAATATCATGGTTAATGTAATTTGTTCAATTTATTCGAATACCTTTATCTTAGTATTAAAATAAATACATTTTTTCATATAAGAAATATAATAGTATAGTTTTACATAGTTTTATAATAATAAATTAAACAATATTAATTAATAAATTAGAAAATATTAGGATCTAATCAGAAAAAATTAGAAAATAGTTAAAAAATCTAAATAAAATATAAGGAAAAATGAACAAATACATTACTCTTTTCTATAGAACACAACGAGATCTAATCGTTTTACTATATTTTATACAAATACATTTTGTAGAAATATACATTGCGTCTTCGCATAATGTTAAAAGTTAAAAAAAATATTTCGTGGATTGTCAAGCATAATTAACTTCCTAGATACATAACTTCCAAGGATAAAATCAAAAATAATCTTGGCACAAGATTCTTCTTTGACAGTGTCCACAAATAAATTTTAAATTAAGAAAAGTAATGGAATATTGCTTCGTCAGACAATATGCGTCAATCGTTGAGCATATAATACATATTTAACTCTTTTGATGATAATTGAAATATGCACATATTTAAGTTCCTGCTTAATAGATAGTAATCTTTATAAGAGAGCATCATAAATACAAATTTTTTAATGCACAGCATCTTTATCTTCTCTTTTAATAAGCATATAAATGTACCTCATAATTATGTGCATTAGTTAGAACGAGATGTTGATCATCACTTCCAGACAGTATCAATTCTCCATTGCTATTCCAACATATAGAATTCACACAACCATTGTGGACCTTCAATCTCTTTAGCAATGACATGCGCTGCATTAATTGTAAGCTAGCTGTACAACAAGAAATGTATAGTAAAATATCAATACTTTGTCAACAATTCATCTAAACTAATTAAAATAAATGTAAACTTCTAATCAGATGTTTATAATATATAAAATATACAGATAAATAACAATTTATCTTTCTACTTTGAATTGAAAATAGGAAAAAATTGGCAAATCAGATTAAATAATATAACTTAGCAAAGCAGCTGCCAACAAATTTTGGCCAAATTATTGTTTACTTATAGAATCTGTGCAGATATTACAAGAGGCAGAAAGAATACCTTTGCTGCTGGAATAGAGCTTTAGCTTCGTGCAGTCGTCATATGGTTGATAGTAGATATCGCGGAAGATGCTGACGCGAGTCTTCCTCATGGTCGAATCCTCAATGGAGTTATCAGCTGACTTTCAATTTCAACAGCGCATAGATACTCGCAGCGAATGGATTGCGAGAGAATTATTGTCGAGTAAATTGCGAGTCTCTATGCGTTGTCGAGTTCTTAAGAATTCCGTGGCACGTTGTTACGCAGCAAAAATCCTGTCGATGAGTTGATGCGACGACGTGACATGGCACACTCGAGACTAAAAATAAACACGACGTTGCAGCGTGGAAAATTCGCGTGGTACGATCTTGACGTCTCGGACTACTTTGGAATTGGACAAACAGCTGAGAGATCGTTTTATATATATATATGTATTTACATACGTATATGTATGTGCATACATATATATGTATGTATACACGATATCCTCGGAATATAAAATCGCATCAGACTTGAGGCTCGATGTCTTGACGATCTCGACAGCTCGGTGTTTCAGAGCGCTAGCATCGTATCTACCATCTAGATAATCTAGGTATTGATTCTAATTATTATAATATTAATTGCACACACATCATAAGATTTAGAATATCAGAATTCTGTTTGACAAGCATCGAATCCGAAATATACATTTTCAAGAATTGTAATTTTTAAAATAAAAATTTTTTTAGAACAATATTTTATCAAGACACAGTAATAATTATTTACGATTGGTAAAGTCAACGTTAATTTTACCAACTATCGATAATCGGTAATTTTTTACAACAAATTTTGTCAACATTCCACGAATCCATAAAAATGTTAATGTTTTTAGAAATTGACAACGTATTATATAAGCAAATCAAGGAAAACGTAATATAAGACAACAAATTAAAACACACAGCATTGTAATTTTTAAACGTTATGATTGGATTGTGATAAATGTTAGGTATTTAAAATTTTTTTAAACTAATATATATAAATCGAAATATTTATATTATAATATTAATGTATAATACATACATATAATTCATAAAACTCAATATGATCGTTTTTCTTTCTTTTGATATTTTAGTTTCTGAGAAATAAATATTAAATAAATAAATATTAATTTAACGTTAGTTAAAAATGTTATAACCAAATGTGTTTACTAAATAAAATGTATTATTTGAAGCTGTTGCGCCAAAAAATAAACAATATTCACTCAACTTATAATAAAAGTTGGAAAGAAATTAGATTTTTAATATATGATTAAAAAATATATTATAATAGTTAGAATTACATATTATTATACATTATAAACATATAATACATATAAATTAATAATAACATATAATTTAATAATTATTATTCTACATTAATACATTGTAAATATATTATTATATATATATCAAAAGAATAATTTATACTAATGAAATAATTACTTTCCTATTTGATATCTTTTATAATTTTGCAAAATATTCAGTATACATGAATTTTCAATCCGCTCTCATCGAGAAACTTTCTGAGAGAGAGACATCGTTTCCTCTATTTTTAGAATAGACTACTCACATGAAGACTTGGGTCTTTTTGTATTCCCCTTCCTTCCTCTAAGGAGTGAGCAGACTTTGCGCGTGATCAAGTAAAACTCAGAAGAATCACGTTGAGAATTAATACTCGAAAATCGTTCCATTATATCGTTTTACTAAATGTTATTTCGTAACCTTCGTCAAATAAAGATAAAAGAACAAAACAATATTAATGCGGGTTTTCATACATAAAATTCATAATTATATATTGATATGTTGATATGTTCACATTAATTTCTTCGATTTCAGTACATAAAAATAAAAGATTCAACTTTATTTCGACTATACAAGAAAGAAGAGTAAACATATTCTCATACAAATCATGATCTGATAAGATTTCATGAAATATGATTGTTTATTACGTATGGAAAAGAAAGATAATTTATACGCCTTAGCATGAAAAATTTATGAAATTATAACGGTAAAAATCTTCAACTATATCATAGAAATTTCTTAGTCGCATAAATAAATTTATTGATTATCTGTGAACATTGCTATAAAGATTTCTTTACAAGTTCTACATTTTATTCATATGTACAAATTCACACATTTTATTGACCTTCATTTATGTTAATGAAAGGTTGAATATTAATTTATTTATATATACATAGAGAAATACATATGCAAAAATTTCTCATAAAACGTGATGGTAAAAAGAAAAATGAAAAAAATTATAACGTCGTAACATTTAACATTCTGTATCAAGGATATAAAATTACTTTCATTCGTTGATAAATTTTTTGTTTCAATCGTCGTCTTCGGAATCCTGACGACATCTTTACCTGACAGTATTAGAACCATCAACTTCAATCTAATGCTGCCCGGTAAGATGTGAACAGATACTCCATCCGCCGGCAGCCATCTTGATGTCTTGTAAAGAGCGATCTTTGATTTCTTTTTTTTTTTCAATAACAATTTCTTGCATTCCTTTTTCTTCTTCTATTCGCTGAGCATCCGACTTGGGATGTGGACCTTGCCGAAATTACTAAAAAAAATTTTTTAAAGAAAAAATTAATAAAAAAATTATATCTTTTAAATATAATATATCTTTAAATGATAATGTTTATTTATGTTTATATCTGTCTATATTCTTTTCTGAATAAAATAATTTTATATTAATAAAATTAATGAATATATCAAATATTGCTTGTAAAATCGAAATATCGTAGAAGCTAATTTCTCATGCGAGAATTACGGGTCTTTTACATTTTGAAGTCATTTTTTATTGCCTTTTACATTGAAAGCGACGTTTATGTAGTGGGCGCGCATATTTTATGTTTTCTCTCTTGCTTTCTTACCTATCTACCTTTCGGCCATCCGTACGGCTACATTTAAATATTAAAACGAAAATCTGAAGAAACGACAGACGATCCCTGCATTTATATGCAGGTGTCGTCATAGCAATATTTGTGAAAGCGAGTTCCAAACTGGTCGTCGTACCAGCACAGCTTTAACGAGTGGACTATATATAGATGACACAAAAATAACGCAACATTTTTTTTATTTATATTTAAAAGAAATTAATATTATAATAATCTTATATATCATTTTGTACTATACACATAACTGTTCTTGCATATTTTAAGACTCCTGATTGTATAATAATATTAAAATAAATAATTACCTACAAAATATTTTATTCTAACGTAATTTGACGTATATAAAATATAAAATATTTTGTTAAATATTCTTTTCCTCGATGACTAATATTTTAAATAATGTGATGAATCAATTAATTCAAGAAAATTTTAATTACATTTACGAAAAACAATACAATTTATAAGTAAATAAAAATAATAATCACTCGATATTATAAGCAAATTGGCGTTCTATACGATGGTTGTATCAATAGCTCTTTATGCTAGCAGTAGATTGATATTCATAATGAACATTAACATACTTCTTAAAGATGGCTGCGACTTTTAAATTTATTTACGAATAAATATTCATTTGTGATGCATTCAGATATAGCAGCTTAGGTTTTTTTGTGTTCAAAAAAAGATGTAATGTGAAAAATTACGAAGCAACATTCTCAAAAACATTCTCAAATAATTCACTCGAACGCAATTAACGACATTTTCTCATCTTCCCCTACGTGCAATTAAATGACAAATGTGAAGCAATGGGAGAATAATGCAAAAAGTAAATTTACTGAAAGGATTAAGTTGAAATACTGGGTTACTGGATTTGTTTGAAACAGAATAGGTACTATGTTTTCGTACGTATCATTATCAATTATCTAAAGTGTTGCAAAAATGGTAGAATCATCGATAACCGTTGAAATCTCGAAAATCTCAAGGAAAAAATTTTTTCATCGTTTTGTAAGTTTGGTGTCTCTCCGTTAAAGAAAACAATATGTTTTCAAATACATTTTTCTGTCATAATTTGTGCTATAATAGATAAAATATTTACAAAAAATATTTTCTCCGTCATAAAGATACATATTTTTACACATGTATTTATTTAGCAATGTTATACTTTCATTTTTTCTCATGATTACAATTTTCGCAAAAAGATGAATTAAAATTTCACTTGTAGGCAGAATTAAAGACAAAGTATCAAACTATAGCAAAATAAATATATGCATTAATATGCATTAAATATACATGCATTAATATGTACAATCGATTCTCTTAACGTTTAATAAGATATTCGGTAAACTATCGAAAAACACTTGTTCAAATTGAAATCAATCTGTATCAATACGATTGATAATTTTAGTATTTGTTTCAAGATCGGAAAAAAGATTATCGAATATAAGATATTTGAAAATATCTTATTAAGTATAAAACTAAATAATTTATATCTTTTTTTCGTACACATGATTAAAATATAAAAATAAAAATTACTGAAACATAATTATTTAAATAGAAACATTTAGATAAAAACATATATCTTTTGATATTTTCGAATCCGGATTAACAGGGAAAAGCAACGTATTTGAAAATTTATTATTAGAGGGAAGTAATTAAAAAAAAATTTTTCAAAAATTATAAATTACGAACTATAGTTATGACAATCTATTTAATATAGAAAAATTCTTAAAATATTCAAAAAGTTCGTCGAAAAAATACGACAAATTTGTTTTGAAATATCTTATAAAGATTACATTGCTTGAATCCGCCTGCGACATATGAATTGCGAAGCCTTCGATTACGTAGAAACGCAAGAAATAAAATGGATGCTGAATGAATGGAAATGTCGGGTTATTATAAGATGCGAGACATACGACTAAGACTCCATGTTTGTTGCAGATGCAAATGAAGCCTGTTGATCAACATATCGCACGTATTGTACACATGATACGTATTAATAAGTACGCAAATGACTTAGCGGATTCACGATCATAAGTTTCTGATTGATACAAGTTAGAATTGATAGCGTTAATAAAATTGATCATAAATAAATTATTAGAAATCTTATTGTTGCTTATTAAACTTGCACAAAAGTCAAAAAGTTAAATGTTATCAAATTGTTTTTTACTTTATCTCTTTCCGTCACATTCTTGTTTTTTATTGTCTATGACCTGAACTATAAAAGAGATTTCTTTTAAGATACATTGTTATATGATGTAGATTATATGATTCACTTCTCCATTATTTGAATAGAGCGAGAGAGAGAGAGAGAGAGAGAGAGAGAGAAAGGAGAGAGTATAATAATACAAATAATATTTATACCGTGTTAATATTGTAAAAGAGTATATGGAGTATGTAAATTATATGACAACCATAGTGCCATTATTATACAAATTATTAAAAATTTACAGCATATATATAATTGTTACATTTGTTATAAATATCATACGCGTGCTATGAATGTACGAAAGAAGAGTCACAACGACTCATTAAATAATATTAAACGGAAGAATCTAGAGAATTGCATTTTGAAAAAAATTACAAATATCTCAAATCTTCATATATCTCCGAGAGTAATTCTTCCATGTCAAATAATAGGATTTAAATTTATTCTTATTAACTTTTATTAACTTCGATATTGGCTTTATTAATGTAAACATATTAATTTTATTAGTCTATTTTTTAGCCTTCTAATATAATAATGAAAATAATTATGATTATTAAAATACTGAATATATATTATTGCATCTAGTTAAACAGTTAAATATTTCATTAAGATATTAATAAAAACCATTATTATTAAAAAAAACCATTATTATTATATCATTATCTTTTATCTTCATGAAATTTAATAACGCAGAGTAACACTTTATGTCACTTCTGTCAAAAAAATCTATACAAATTTCATGGAAATCAAATTATTGATTGAGATAAAAGCTTATAATTATTCCGATGAATTAAATGTCAGTAGAGTAGTAACTTAGGATGAGTTTTCAAAATTTTATATCATACACATATAATCATATTTACGCGTTTTTTCGACAGGCAAAGAGAGAGAGAGAGAGAGAGAGAGAGAGAGAGAAGAGAGAAAAAAGAAATGGGAAGGGGGAAGGAGAAGGAAAAGAGAAAGAGAAGGAAAGATAGTGAGAAAAAGGCGGAGAGAGCCAAGAGAGTGAGCGAGCGGAGAGGATACCGTTGCATAAGCTATATTTAACCGCACCTGCTGGCGCCAGACTATCCACGCTCGCGCATGCGCTATACGTATTTTTCAACGCGACATATTCATTCTCTCTCTCTCTCTCGATGCATTTCGAGCAAGTCTACTGCTCTTCCATCCGGCGAAGGATAAAAGCATAGCATACTATTGCTGCTCGCTATTCATATTCTGGAATAAGGTACATTAAACGGTGTATATATGCTTCTACAATTAAACACTTTCGTCATTGTATATACCTAGCTATTCATACATCAATCAAAGTGATAATGACTTTTGATTAAAGTATCTAAAGCCTAAAGGAGTAGCTTAGTGTCAGCTGCTCCTAATTTTAACAATGGATTTATACATGAAGATAATCCGTAAAATGTATGGTTTTTTTATAGAAACTATTCGTGAAAAAAAAATGTATCTAAAACATATCTTTAAGCTCTTTATATTTCATATTTATATACACGTGGCATACAGCTGTTTTGTTGATAAGCACAGCTATAATATTTAACCAAGGATAGATGTAAATCAGCCAATGCGAGATATATTGATATTCAAGATGAGAATCTCTATCTAATTTAGACGGAATATTTGATGTTTTCAGACTTTTATTTTAGAAATGGATAGGAGAAACATAATTTAGACACTATATGTATATGTAGATACAGTTATATACAAATTTTCATGAAGAAAAATGTAAATTCAGACACGTTATTCAGAGATATATAAGATGAATAAAAAAAACTAACAAATATAAAGATGATGCGATGAAACAAATATGATATGACACGGGAATGACCTTAGGGAACTGCTTTATAAGGTAGTTAATTTAATTAAATACCACGCCATCAGTATTGGGTGCGCCGTTTATTCCAGTAAAATTCACCCAATACAGAGGTGAAAACTATTCCATTTTGTCAAATATTATGCATTTTCTTTTGAAATTATTACTTGAAATTATTGAGTTCCAAAAATAAAATTTTAAGATTATGCAACATTTATTTAGTTTTAGTCATATAAATAATCTAGTTTTAATTTAAGTAATTTAATTTAAGAAACATTAAGAAAATATATTTTTTTATAAATTTAGATTTATATCACGTCACGTTCATGATCATTTTCAAAAATTATATACTGACATTTTAGAAATTTTTTAAAACATTACGCTTAATTAAAAATAATGCAAATAAAGCATAAAATAAACATTATTAATTATTCTTTGCGCATTTAATCTAATTCGATATCTATCTTCTTAATTCGTTCATGAACTATGTTAAAACCACGTGGCAATGATGTTATCTCATGATTACGTAATTGATAATGAGTTACCCGACATCGATATTTCGATCCGACATCGTGCCGAAAAATATTTTTCGTTGTTACATTTTTTTTCACATCTTAGGCTACAAAAAAAAAGAAAAAAGAAAATAAATATGTACACATTTCATACGCTCCAAATACTTTACGCTCTAAAAGACCAACTTGTAATAACGATAATTACAATAATAATATTAATATAGAATAATATTAATATTAAAAATTATATTAACGTAATATAATATGTAATTTGTAATATAATATACACAGATGTTATTCATAAATAAGTAAAACATTTTAATTAACAAATTTTTTATATTTGTAATTATTTCGTAAATTACCTCTTATATATTTAACATCTTTTTTCATTTTACATAAAAAATTATATTTCAACAATATAAAAAATAAATAAATATGTCATCATCATAATTAATATCATATTTAATAAAATTTCTCCAATTTATTGTAATATCTAAAATTATTGAAAATATGTATTTATAAATTAGTATTTATAAATTATATAAATCTTTAAAAATATTACAAATATGTGCTAAAATTATACATTTATAAGTTCTTAAAATCAGTCGTATATAAATTAAAAATAAAATTTTAAGCAACTTTTTTGTAAACAATTCAAATATATGCACCCTTAAAAATAAAACCTTAAAAGATTATAATATCACACATAAATTATATATCGTAGGTTAAAAAAAAGTAAAATTAATATAAAGAAAAAGAAAAAAATACTATCATAAATAGAAGATGTAAAACTATAAAACAATAAAACAAAGTGGGACAATATGATTTATTCTTCTCAAAATCTAATATTTCGGAAAACAGTAATTATTTTAAGTATATCAATTTCTTGTTAAAACATTCAGCGTGTGTGTGTGTGTGTGTGTGTGTGTATGTGTGTACACACACACACACACACATTTAAGTGAATAAAAAATATAGCATTTAAAATAATTTACTTTTTACAATTTAAAATATAATCTATTGGAAATAGATAATAACAGAAAATTCACATTTAAAAAATTCAAATGACTTCTAAATTTATCTTTAGACGCGTAATAGGTTTATTTTAAGATACGAGAAAAATGTAAAATATTTTTTCTTAGCTCAATAACTATTGATATATTCTTATCATCAAAGTCACAAACTTCTCAAAGCAAATAATTTTAATTAATAAAAATTTTTAAATAAATTATAAGTTGTTTCAGATCGGCAAATTATTCGACTATCATAAAATTAATGTACATGACTTGGAAATTTATAAATTAAGTTTTAAATAAAAAGAAAGTTATTTTTACTGTTTTATTATTTATTGTGCTGCAAAGAGTGTTTATTAAAAAGAATAATTCGTTGCTATACATGTAATAACGGATATACTCGAAATGCGCGATTTATCTCGTGGTAAAACACTTAAAAAAAAAAAATAGAAAATTTATTTAATAAAGAAGAAATAATTAATCTATTTGAAACTAGAAGTAAATACTCCGAAATTATAAGAAAAATCTATGTAAACTAACTACGTTCAATAGAAAACCAGCCTTTGTAACCCTTTGTAACTGTTGTAAGATTCTTTAATACGATTGGTTCTTGCTCTTAATTCCTCACTAAATCTAAATGTATAAACCAGTTATACTGAAGAATCTTACAACAGTGTTGCTAAGCTACTTTTTCCGTTGAACGCAATCTCTCATTTGGGCCGCAAATACCGTTAGGTTTATATTTTGGCTCCGGTCACAATCTTCACTTATCTGACGACAAAGAGTAGGATATTTACCAAATAGTTGTGCGCACACATTACGCCACTGAAGAAGATCGATAGGTCGGTTGCTCGAGGAGGAAAACGACGACATGGCGCCCGTCCTTTGGTGCATGGAGTCTGATACACCCAGATATGCGTCTCGCTTGTCGTCGTCGTCGTCGTCGTCGTCGCTGTCGTTGTCGTCATCATCATCATCATTGTCGTCGTTGTATCATGAACGCCTCGCGATCTCGTATGAAACGTCCGCGACAGACTCCACCCTCTTCGTTTGTCGGGGAGATTTGTGGTTCATCGAGAATCACGCTGGAAGAAAGGCGAGAAGGAGGAAGGGAGGGAGGGAGGGGATTGCGACGTCCATTGCGCGAGTCGCGCGCGCAGGCCTAAAAAGCGCACTGTCAGCCGGAAGCGTGTAGCACACGATATCCAAGAGGAGGAGGTAGAAAGATGGCGAGGAGCAAAGAAGAGGTAGAAGAGAGAAGGTAGAAGCGATGAAGGAGGAAGAGAGGAGGGTAGACAGAGAGGCCTTGGCAGCGGATCAGACTAAACTCCAAGATAGAAAGCTCACACTTTCTTCAATCGTCCAAAAGTTCGACGAGCGAAAAATGTTACTAGTTTCTCTTCGTTTACTTACGTACTTTACAATTCAACATTACGCCATGAATGAAGATGCGAAAAAAAAGAAACGAAGAATGCGAAGTAAAGTGAAACGAAATGGGACGAGGTGAGACGAAATGAGAAACGAATAGAAACGAATAGGAATGATACGAGACGAATAGAAACGATCAGAAACGATCAGAAACGAGACGAGACAAATAGAAATGAACAAGAACGAAGAAATGACGAACAGAGACAAGATGAAGGAAAATGAAGAGAAACGAGGTGAGGCGAGGACTGCGAAGAGAAGGGAAAAAAAAACCGACTAAACACAAACGATACCCACATGCTTCAGTCGATCGAAGCGAACTGAGCGGCCGCGTTGTGCGTTGGCCGGCTGGCAACGCACCGTCGACTTCCCCTTCCATCGTGTTGCGCGCGTCCCCACCAGGGTGCTGTGACCGTCGTAACTTACCCCCATCGCGGCGCGCCGTTACCGCACTCTTTCACTACCGCGCTACGTTGCCTATGTTGTTCATAGGGGAATCGCGCGCGCGGAAGCATGTCGAGACTGTCGAGAGTCGAGACTTCAGAACTTCCAACTCCAGAAGGCGAGTCGTGCCGTCGTGCCGCGGTCCGGCGTGTTGCCTGTTGGCGATGTTGGCATGGTAAAGGCAAAGGCCAAAGGGAGGTAAGGGGAAGAGCCGGTGTCTCACGCGGTTTCGGCGACGCGAGGATTGGTTGGCCGTGAATGGCGCAGGTGGCGGCCGGCCGGCCGGCCTGGTGAGCCGGGGCAATGACTGCATTTACGTGCCATCGTGTACACGCGTTAAGAGAATCGAAGGCGCGATATCCTTTGCAACATATTTTATTAAATATTTCGTCCTGACATAGAGGCGAAATGCCTCTGCGAATTCCAATTCGTAGCAATTCGAAAGAAAAAGTAAAAAAATGTTTGTACGCTCTTTTCCTGTTTCAGTTTTTATTTTAGATTAATTATTTTAGATTTCTCCCCAAATTTTGCTCACATTTTTAATTATTTCAAAATTACAATATGTTTATAGATTTAGATTTAGATTTCGTTCATATATTTAAGATTATACGAATAAATAATAATTAATGAATTATTATTTAACGCTTTTGAAAGAAAATATATTTTGCTGGTAATATATTGAAAAAAATTAATAAGTTATTAAGATAATAAACTTATATGAGAATAATATAAGTTTTTTTTTTATTGTCGACATATTAAATATTATAAATAAAATGATTTTGATTCATGAAGAAGATAAAGCAATCTAAGTGAAGTTAGTCGAAACTCCGTTTAGGGTTTGCCTTTGGTTCATCCAAATTTGGGTTGGCCCACCGCTTCAGAACCGGTTTGCATCTCTGATTCTGACCACAGTAATACATATATTATATTTTATAACAATATATTATAGTTTATTGCGTATTTATTCATTAACTTATACAAACACATCGCTGTAAGTGGAGTTTTTTTTAAACATACTGTTTCTACTGAATTAGTTATACTCTAACGGTATAACACTAGTTTAGTGTTACCATTTATAGTCATGGTCTAATATGGCATGTTATAAAAATATACATATGATATATTTTTTATTAGACATTTTTCTGACAAATTGCGTTTCAAATGTTTATTTTTTTTAATGGAAATAATTGATTATAATTGTGTTGAATGCGTTAGAGTCAGCTTTTTGTATTTCTTTAAGCATATTTAAAATTGGTGTGTTACTTGCTATTTCATAATTTATTAAATTATTTGGCATATTTTAAAGATCCTTTGTGAAATTTTCTATGGTGAATAGTTAGCGGATTTTCATTCATAACTTTCATATTTTATTGCTTTTCCATGGCAACTTTTATTTTTTGGGAAAAAAGACAATTGTTGCGTGCGTATGCATGCGAATGCTCGTGTATATACATATAATATATATTAATGAGTTTTTAATTTTTATTATGATGATTTGCGTTTAAATATTACTTATGTGTATATGTGACATCTAAATGTCACCACGCCCCTTGATCAGCAGGTTAAACATGCTTTCTTGCAGGATCGCTGTGCGTGCGTTCCAATAATTAAACACATACGCAGGACCGCCCAGTGTCGTAGGACTCTTGTCGTAAGGCTTCAATTATTGGTAAAACTTGTTTTAATTTGCATGCAGAGTCGAATAACAGAGTGCTCAAAAATAGAATTATTATATATATATATATAAATGTGTATGTGTAACAGATTTTGAAATTCAAATATTCTGCTTTCCGATTACAGCTAATCATCAATCACGTGACCAATACGAATAAATGATTGAACGCACGGAGTAAAAGCAAACAGTGGCAAAGAGATAGCGAAAGTTGACATTCTGTATACTCAGTTGTTATTTGTTACTGATTATTCCACGTTCCAGAAATGTATATATTTTATTATAGAAATGTATATATTTTATTATACATAGAATCAAGTAGAAAACAATGTAAAATGCAAAATGAGATAGAAAATGAAGCGTAAAGTCAAATTAAACATTTATTGAATTATAATAAAATATGCAGTTACATTAAGTTCAATGAAAGAAAATAAAGTAGTGAAATAAATTGAAAAATGAAAGCGTAATGAGAAATAAAATGCAACAAAATGAAAAAAATAAAATAAAATAAAAATGTTTAAAGTAGAAGACAAACAATAGAGCAGTAAAAGACGTTTTGCAATAAAAGGCCTTTTTCCGTTTGAGCAAGCAGTCTTTACATTAAATCTTAACGAGTCTGATCTTATATTAACGTGTCATTTTGTCGACCTAGAATCTCGTTTTCGTCATATTATCATTTTACATAACCGATGCACTTATAACCGTTTAACGTCAATAATCTTATCGACCTATCCCGACCCCGACAACCCCGTAATGCTAGCCTGTAACCTAAATTCAAAAAAATTTATCAAAACGACGCATTCATCATTCGTTCTTCTTACGAAATAGGGCCAGAGGCTTTGGTGATAACAGTATAGCAAAACAAATTTGATGCGCAGAGCAAGAATGATGGATAATATGTGTAAAGATCATCGTATAAAACTCATATCAAGTTGCTTCATGTTATATTTTGTACTTGCAAACAGATAAAAGATGATATAATAGTTAATTCAGTTCTTTTTCAAATTAATTTTTTTTTTTTTTTTTTAGAAAATTATAATGTCAAACTTATGAAAATATTTTTTGTAATAATTTACTTGTTAGGATAGTCAATAATAGACAACAGACACTTTTCTCTTTTTAAAAACTTACTACTATGGAAGAACATACTTTAAGCTCGAAATTAATTATACGTTAAACAAAGTCAGATATTTGCCGACCCGAAGAGACTCGCTGTTCACATGCAAATGCACTTTTCCTATGCGAACGACTGTATTCATCATGAATATATGGAAGCGCACGTGATTTCGTAATACCTCACCTATCGTCACACCATGTACAGAGACTGTTTAAAAACCTTGTCGATAAATTGCCAAGATGTAAAACTCAAATGGGCAATCCTTGACAGAAAAAAATATATATATTTAACAATACAATAATATTAATATCCTAGAATGATACTAATATTTTGCAATTTACGATTTTAATATCAATGATTAGATACTTTGATCACAATTTGCAATATATCCTTTTTTTTCAACAACTATGTTATAAGAAATTATTATATTTATGCTTCATTTTCTTAATTTTTATAACTTCTATACGTATATGTATATCTACAAGATATCGATATCTGCAATCACTTAATCCCAATGATGTGTTATTCGATAAATAATTATTTTCTTAAGGGGAAATGTGACAAGAAACGACGTACCTCTATCGTTATTACTAGTGTCAAATTTGTTACATAATATATTAATATTAAGAGGAGTACTAGAAAGAGGAGTATTAACCAATTTTACATGCGAGACATGTACGTGACAATGAAAATAGACTTGCATAAACGTAAAAGCTTTAAATGGTCTTAATACTTTAAAGAAGATACTTACAGCATATGTCCCGTTTCGAATTTCCAATCATTGTTTATCGTTGTACCGATACCATACGTTAAAATTTATGAGACTATTGCTAATCTCTTTGGCATATAATAGGATTTTTAATATTCTGAATTATCAGAGCCTACAGAGGAATGAATCAAGACGAGACTTACTTCATAAAGTGTATTAGTAGGCCACGACGAAAATATATACCAGGCATCTCGGCTAATAGTAGCCAAGCGATGGCATTGACCGCCATATTCTTAGTAGTTTTCGAAGTAGCATTTAGAGAGCGAATTTTGTTCCTAATTTTTCCTTTCCTTTTCTTCTTTCCTTCTTTCTATTATTCTTTTTCTCTTCTTCTCTCCTACAGGTAGCTATCGAAAGTTAGGGCACCTTCAGATTCTTTTATCTCATGTCAACCGTGTGTGCGTGAGATTGATGCAACGAAATTATTTCTATGGAAATAATAAATCAAATGTTATTTTATATAAATTATTTATATAAATCAAATAATCAAATATTCCTTTTATACAGTAAAAACAATTTTCTAAAAATGTGTATACATATATTGTTTCGATGTAATATTTTTATTTTTTACACACTAATTTTATATGTACACGCGTGTATAACTTTAACATTTGTTTGTATTTATAATAATGCCTGCTTATATATATTATAACTTGGATTATATTTGGAATAAAAAATGCTCAATTCGGTTTGATGGCGGATCGTCTTCGGATCTATCTCTTGCTCGATGACCTGTGGTCCAACGTGGTCATGCGTTGATATCTTTCGCATAGTTTATACACTTTCTACGCTCATTCGCTACTCACTGTCACCGAAAAAAGTCGATAACCCGAGATATGCTCGCCCGGGTACACGCGTCTCGTTATCACATGCTCCCGTGACTTCGGCTTCAAATCGTGTTGCTAGGCAAGTATAAGATTGAAATTTCTACGTCCGAAATCTCGTTATTTCATCATTGTCTCAAAAAATCGATTTGTCACATTACATTCATTTTAACTATGTGAATTTGTAAATTAATTGTGCTCTACACTGTTTTATTATAATTTCATCAAAAATTATTAATTTAGATAAGAGCGTTTATACATTAAAATTAATTTGTAGCGATAATCATATAATAATAATAATCTGAGACGATAATCTTCAGAAAAAATAAGAATAAAATTTACGTCTAATATGATTTTAACTTCTTTTCTGATAAGATTTTTCAAGAATTTTAAAGATATTTTTTTTTTAAGAGAAATGTAAAATATTATGTAAAAGGTATGTCAAAGATGATGTAACACATGAAAGACAAGTGCGGGCGCTTTCAAAGTTGCTTCATACGGCCCTTCCCTGATGGGATATGCGACACTCGAAAGATTACACTCTTCCCTTCCCCTTCTCTACCACACAAGTACTTTTCATTTTCATTTTGTCGTTATGTTCTCTTTCGCCCCCTCGGTTCTCCAAGATAGACCGCAACTATAATTAGCTCCCCTTTTTTTTATTACGCTTTGTAAACGCGTTCGCTCGAGATCAACGCGGTTGCCAATGGCGTAACAATCAATTTTCGGTCCTTAAGCAAAATAGTAAAGAAACGATTTTCTTATGAAGATATACAAAATGAGAATTAAAAAAAGAATTATGAAAGAAAAAAACGTACAGAAATCTTTCGAAAGCAGACTCGCACGCAAAACGTAGCCCTCAATTGGTGTTATATATTGTATCTTAATATTTATTATATAATGCTCATTATTATAATGTATATCGTTTACTTTTGCGTAATGGAAAAACGTATGGAAAAAAATTGAATTCTACTCGGAAATTATAATGGAATCTTAGGAGGATTGATTATATAGCTATATAGTTTGGGAACTGTGTGATGATGGGGGCGTAGGTCGTTGACAAACATGGGAGTGCCATAGATAGAGGATCGATGGCAAAAAGAGAGAAAGATAGTTAAAGAGAGGACCTCTTCTACATCGTTTGGCCATTCCCTTCATAAACGGGCGTGGCTCTTAGATTGTGTGCCTTAGATTGTCGTAACATATAATTTCCGTTTCTATGGAAAATTACATTTCAGGAAAAGAATTTTTAATTAATATTTCGAAGTTTTATAAATGAAAAAAATTTTCACAATTTCGGACACAAATTTTATTAGGAGCTGCGCTGATGATGCGCTACATTTTCCTTTTCGTAATTTTAGGGATTAAAATTAAATTATGTCGTTGATAACGGAAATGCGAAGTTTCATATGCAACAAAACCAACCCCATAGTTGATTTATACTTATTCGCGCATTTCGTAAATCGTTTAATAACGGACTTATTAAAACGCGTGAAATAGATGCGCGGAAAGAGAGTCAATGAGCGGAAACCAACCGATTGTACGCGTGTATAAGCAATTGTAAATCGCTATGTTAATATCGCTGCCGGGGTTCACCGGGGTCGCGCCGGGTCATCATGACGTCAGCGGATACCGCGTCTCACCGTTGTTCGACGAGCTAATATACGTTCTATGTATGAGCATATCGACAGCACCAATAAAAAATATATCGCAACTACATTTCTAGTTTTCAGATATAATCATTTTCTAAAATTATTTTAGTATTTAGCATGTCGTAGAAAAAAAACCATCCATATATGTGACCCCAATTATCTATTAGGTATTGGAATTAATTCGTAGCGTTTTTAATGAAAGAATGTTATTTATTTCACATGAGCATTAAAAAATACATTAATGAAAGTACTTCCCATCACTTGTAAAACGCTACGAATTAATTCCAACACCTAATAATATATACATATATACATAGAATAACTTGATGTTAATTTAATATTCCGTTACTATTGTGCTTCTTAAAAAAAATTTGCAAAATTATAATTTTTTAGAATTGTAATCATTCTTACGTTACTTTTAAAGGATTACAATGTTGCACAAGTTGCAAATTATAACTCAAACAACACAAAATCTAAAATTATGATATAAGTCGGCTTTTAGACGCATAAAATATCTTATGACCTGATTTTAGACACTTTTTGTTGTCCAGGAATATTTCTAGACAATAAATAGTTGGATATATCACTAAAATTTTTAACTTTTGAAACATATAAATATATAAGAATTAAGATACAAATAGATGATCTCTTTTTTCAATTTTTATCCAAATTCTTTATTATAATTCTTTTCAATTCTTTATATACTATATTATCATTTAATATAATTTTCTATAAAATTAAAAAATTATGTCTTTTTTAAATTTAAATGTATCTATAATATTATCCGATTGTTTTCCCTTCTTCATAATTTTTTAGAAAACTTCTAAATTTTATATTTTTCCAACATTATCATAGCGGCGCGTTTTGTTATTTTATTTTTGCGATAATTTATGACAGCTTTGAGCAATTAATTCATTGATGTATAACATTGATGAATACATTTTTAGAACAATTCAATCATGTTCAAGTTTCGCCCTCTGTCCTACATTTCTCATTAAGAACTACGTATATACATGAATGAAGTAACCTGTCGGTTTTATATCGATAAAGTAGATTTCTTATTTTTTAAACGTATTCTTCTCTTTTTACTCTTTCTAGAATTAAAACGTAAATAATATATTTACGTATAATTAAACGCTATGACAGAATTGAAAAATTAAAAAATGTTCCGTATTGTTTATTTTTATTTACCATTTTATTTACTACTTTACATGTTATCTTTACATCGATGTCTAATAATATTATATATTCGCTATTATAAATTATTATTATTCACTATTATCGATATATGATTATCAGAGTCCGGATCGCGGTGCTGTTTATTCCCACTCCAAGCGCCGCGCGCCGCGACAAGCAATACCGCTTTAAAGCTTTAGATACCAAAGTAGCATATTCCTTTGATCTAAGCCGAAATGTCGACAGCCTTTCTATTGGCTATTTCGACCGCTATTTCGATTTAATTGTTTGTAGTCCAATGAGCGCTTAATATTATTGATATAAGATATGGTTAGTAGGTCCAAAATCACTACTTTAGTATCTAAAGCTTTATGCCGTCTTTACGCCATCTAGAGGTATGTTTGGGAAGACGCTATTAGCGTTATTTGCGTCATTCTATCCTTGTTTTATGTCTAATAAATTATGAGAATAGAATGATACAATTAATAGCGCTAGTAGCATCTCCCCAAAAAACGCACTAAAGTACCGAATGGAACATCATCGCATAGTAAAGAAACAAAAATAAAATATAATTAATGTAATACATACAAGAGCTTTATTAATCGATAAAAAATACAAATAATAGTAGTGTTATTGTTATTGAGTAGTTGAAAAATACAAATTATATGTTCATTATTTCTTAAGATCTATAACAATGAGTTATTGTCATAGGTCATAAGAAATAATGTACATGTATGTATTACGATTAATGTACATATAAAATTTTAAAGTTTTAATTAAAAACTTTTTAAACTAAATATCTATAAAATTTGTTTTTATAAAATACAAAAAGATATATGAACATATATATTCGTAGAAATGTAATTTATAAAAACTTGTTTTCCGTGTAACGTCTATTTTTTAAACAAAACTCCTTTAAAGTTATACGTTTTGGAGGTGGTGTAGGGAGAATTTCATTATCTTCCTCCTCATCGAATTGACTTACAGATTCTCGCATATTCTTCAGGCGCGAAATATAACTAAATCTTTGCAATCTTTCGAATATCGATAATGGAATTGCGCTTTGTGCCAAAGTATAAGCTTTTTCTAGCGGTTTCTTATCGTTCATTTTATAAAATTTATTCTATTTAAACAAATAATAAAATGAATAAATAAAAATCCAAAAAAATAATAGAGAATATAATAAAATGATAGAAGGAAATATTATTATGTTATAAATTAATGAAAATCGAATGATAATAACTTTAAATATTTTTAAATCTTTTAGATAAATAAATAAATAAATAAACATGATATGATACCTTTTTCATAATAGTGCCTTTCTTATATTTTGCGAAAGCTTTGATACTTCTAGGATTAAGCCAAGCATGTTGAATAATATCATCTTTAAAGAATGTCACATGATATTTTACCTACGCAAGCATCATTCATTATATTATAATAAGTTCCCATATAACATACATGTTGCAAGATATTTAAAAGACATTTTTTTAAACATCTTTTAGACACAAGTCATCTAAAAAACATTTTATGCAACATAAATGTTACCTGGATTGTAAGAAATTAATTTAATTAATTAAAAATTAAAAATATTAAATTTATTAAATAAATGTAAATATATTTAAATAAATAAAATTTTAATTACTTATACATATTTATATACTTATATATATTTTCTGGAACTTACAGGGATTATTGATGATTCTTTTAATTCATAATATCGTAAGTTTTCAGGGCAATCGTCTACGATTGCGGGCCACCATGGATAATTATGCATATGAGCCCATACAAGACTTCCGCAATTATATTTATTTTCTATTAAGTCTTCTTCTACTGTCTCCGTTTTTGGCACTTCCGGTATGAGACAAGAAGCAATAGTTTTATCTACATATATGATGACATACATGTCTTTATATTTAATTCTTTATTTATATATTAGATATCATATTAAATTGTACTGTTGTGTATATTTCATTATAATTATAATTAATTACTTTAAATGAAATCTTTTTGATAATAAAATATATTAGGTGTTGGAATTAATTCGTAGCGTTTTACAAGTGATGGGAAGTACTTTCATTAATGTATTTTTTAATGCTCATGTGAAATAAATAACATTCTTTCATTAAAAAACGCTACGAATTAATTCCAACACCTAATAATATAACTTAATATTGTATGTATATGTATCGATTAATATACGTGTCCTATTTTAACTTTGCTGTCGAAATAACTAAAAAGTTTTACGAAAAAATAACAAAACATTTAAATATTTTGAGAAAACTCTAATCTGATGGATTAGATTTTTTGAGGATAAATAATATTATAAGATGTTCCTATATTTAAAAAATCGAGTTGGATCTAATTGGGCTCAACGATCGATAAGCTTCAAACCGATAATTTAATTAACGCAATTCTTATTTTGAAACCTAATCGAGTCTGTAACAAAATGTCTTTTAATTATTTGAAAAAATGAATTTAATTAATCCCAACACTTGCTCCAGACTGGAAATTTAATTAATTTATCAGACTGCTCTCAAAACAATAAAAGTTTTATTTCTAGTTATTTTTTTGTAGAATGCTTTTTAATCATTTTGATGGCAAAGTTAAAATGAGCACCCTATATATGTGTCAATGTATTCATAATACAGTAGTAAACACGTACTTGAGTTCATTTTACAATACCAAAGTTTTGGTACATCTACAGGATCATGGAAATCGTCACAATATCGCCATTTTTTGCAAGTTTTCCTACAGCATTGGATGAATATACCTATGTCTCTTTGCGATTGTAACCATAATAATGTATCTTCTTTACTCATTTTTATATCCGTACTTATTGTATCCGTATATTGCAATACTGCTAACAAAAAGATAAAAATATTTTGCATATATATATATAAGTCTCATTATTCGAGTTTGTTTTTTGTTTATTCGTGAACAATATTAAAACATATAAAGTAAAATGTTTAGGGTATACTTTTCAATATCGAAGTACGTAAGATGTCGGAGCCAGAAGGTATTTGTTTGTGCACACATGAATGTTTGTTACCATCCTTGCATAAGCAAGATAATTATTTGATTGTCAAAATAAGTGTT